AGGACATTAATAACAAAGAAAATATGGAGGGAGAGGGTAACTACTAGTTGATCTTTGCATTGTTATATGATCAAATAAGAGCAAAAGCAGCTAAATATTTGATATTAGCCTGCAGACAACAAAACAAACAATGCAGAAATCAAGAAAATTGAGACCTTTACATGATTTACTTTTAATCTGTTTACAGAACAATTGTATTCATTGAAGATTTATTTTAAAGAGATAGAAAGCTATTAAAAAAACTTGAATTCGTCTGCTCGAAAATGGACCCTACAGGTGAGCAGTGTGTGTCCTCAATATCAGCCTCAGACTTTGAGGGTAATGTTCAGTGTGTGTCCCCCTCCTAAAGAGCAGCGCATCATTTGCATTCCCGTCTCTGTGATCTCCTGTCGGATTAAATCAAAGTTAGCCTTGCTCTCTTTCATTTTGCTCTTATCAAAAAGGTTGATTGTGTTCAACCTGTTTCATTTCAGACTGAAGGGAAAGAAAAAATCCAGTTGCATCTGTTGCTCACGTGCAGCTCTGATTTTAAGAATATATGAAACATTGTGTTATAGTGTATATGCATATTTGTGCAAATGTGACTTTGATTTAGTTTCATGCTTGTTAAAAAATGAATTGCAACCATATGCGTTTGCATATGAACGTTTTCTATTGCTTTAACTGTGTCATCCATTAATGCTTTTTTAAAAAGTTTTTATTTTAAATATTACTATTATAATATTAATTATATTTATATAATACACCATTTCAGTTTGTTTACTGATAAACAAGTGTGTTGGATTAGCATTTGGTGTAACATCCGAGTTGTGAAGCCTAAACAGTTCAGAACCACTGATCAAAACATAGTAGTGTGAAACAATTTTTGTGCTAACATGAATTTGTATTCTTGAATGTACCTTCTTAAATCACTTCCACATTAAACCATTCACTTACGTGAAGTGTTTAATTTAAATAAAGCTTAATTTCAGACTCAGCTGGAAATGACACACTATATTGGGAATATGTTCTATCCTCCAAGAGGAGCCTATTAAGGGAGATTAATTAGCATGCAGGTATGGTGTTTGATTACAGGGTTCAGCATGTAGTCGAGATGAAGGCTCATGTTTTATGTGATCAAGAAATGTTCAACAGTAATGAAAGTACTGTATGTTGTGTTGGAAATGTGATGCTTTGATAAGATGATCGTGGATACCGCTACCCTCATGTCCTTTACTTCCTCTGATGTTTAAGATGCTGATGGAGAAAATGATAGGAAATCCAATAGGTTACTGTGTGGATCCCTGTATGCTTTGTTTAAGACTGGATGGACGTCCTATGGGGTTGGGTTGTTTGCTGAATGTCAGGGTTATATATGTCTAATTTCCCATTTTTAAATGGATTCATTAGGGCCACAAATTGACTACTAGACATTATATTCCTCCATTTGAAAAAAAAAAATCTGTATGTTTATAAATGCATATCTCTTTAATCTGTGCTATTACACAGCCCTTGATTAGCATGATTTGAATAAGCAGTCTCTTATGCCATGCGACAGCCAGACAGAAAAGTTTTGCACCTGCAGGTATGGCCGTGTCATTTCAGAGACTCATCACTGCTGATTTCCACATGGACGAATTCCAAACTCTTGAAGTTAACTTTACCCATCTCAACTAAAAATCTATTTGGGGTATTTTCTGGGTCTAAAAATAGGACAATAATATGACAGAATTTAGGGCACTTTTTAATTTAATAATTAAAACGGGTCATTTTTCCTAGTAGTTTATAAATATTTCCATTGTGGATGTATTTGGCAAGAATAGACCACTTAAATGTCATGACATTTGTTTCTGAGGCACTTGAGTACAAATTAAGTTTGATGCTATTGACATTCAGATATTTAAAATTCTTTTTGTGTGTGATCCACACACAAACTTGACATTGTATGCATTTGGAATGCCATGAGGGTGAGTAAATATTGGCAAAAATATATATTTTTAGGTGAACTATCCCTTAAAACATGCCAAAAGGGGATGATTATGAGAAAAAGAGTTGAATTTTTACAGTGCAACATAGAGTGAGGAAACCATATTGATCTGTTCATTCAAGTAATATGCACTTTTTATGAATTGTTTACTAAACTTGATTACATTCCCCATTGAGATGGTTGAAATCTTGTTCAGCTTGTCTGCAGCTGACTGAGAAAACTGTGTCTCAATGTTTCTCTCCAGATAAAATGCTGAGTCCTAAGATGTTGAATCAATAATCAATTTTAATTTAAAAGCAGGTTCTAGCAACTTTGCAAGTTATGCCAGTTATGACAAAATCAAAAAAATCTGAAAGTTAAAAGAATAGTTCACCCATAAATGGGGAAAAAAGTCAGTCACTCACCCTCATACGTTCCAAACCTGTGAGACTTTTGTTTATCTTCTAAACACAAATGAGGATATTTTAAATCTGAGAAATTTCTGTCCCTCCATGACAGTCCACGCAACTACAGTACCACTTTGTCGCTTCAAAAAGTTCATAAATGCATTGTTGCATGAATAAATAATGAGCTTATGATCAGAGGTAATCTGTTTGTCACCATTGCTGAGATTCATATGCTAATTCTTGATGTCTGTGTGTGCCTACATAATATAATTTCTGAAGTTATCTTTTTATTGTTTTGATCATTTGGTTTCATTGACAACGCTAAAAATATGATGTGAAAAAGTGATTCAGGTCAAATGATTGTGAAATAATGATTAAGAGTTCTTAATTCATCTTTGACGTCAGTCTGTTTTTCCGATATTTTTGTTTAAAAAAATGTGTAATTCTACTCATTTTAAATGGTTAACTTTTAAGTAATTCATTTGGTTAATTACTACTCAATTCTAATTTGTTAAATTTAATTAATAATATTGATTGTAATCTGTTGCCTCAATTTTATTGATTAGATTTAACATATTCAGTCGTATTCATTTTTACAGTGTATGATGAACAGATTGAATTTAGGCTTTTATTCACATATATGGAGGGACGGAAATCTATCAGATTTCAAACAAATATCTTAATTTGTTTTTTGATGAACGAAAGTCTTAAGGATTTTGGAATAACATGAGTGTGAGTAAATGATGACAGAATTTTCATTTTTGGTGAATTAACCCTTTAAAATATCAGATTGTCCAACAAGTAGCCTACAATGTTTTTGATTAGTGGTTATTAAGCTGAAATTGGACTGTTGTCTAAAGCTGTATTGTTTAAAACCCAATGAAAATATGTAATTCACTTCTGTTTAGACTCTAGGCAAGAGGCTGAGATTGCGTCAATAGAGTGGTTTGAGTTGCTGAAGGAAATTAGTAAAAATGAAGTAGCATGAATAACCGAAGTGTCACCTTAGCCATTCCTCTGTGGCAGAGTCTCTAATGCCTGTCATCTCTCGCTTTTCACAATCAGATCAGTGCAGCCAGAAGAAATAACAATCTAATGAAGCAGAAATTAGAGGAAGACGAAAACGTTTATTTTGAGCACCTGCGTAACCCTGTGTGTTCAGTGGAAAAAATAAAATGGTGATTTTGATTCAGTAAGTTAATCTTTAACTTTGGGCACTTTTATTGTTTTCATAAAATATATCAAACCACAATAAAATAGTAAAACCACTTTGCTATAGAACTGCCTTAATTCTTCAAGGCATAGATTCAATGAGGTACTTGAAACATTCCTCAGAGATTTTGGTCCACATCATGCAGTTGCTGCACGTCTATGATGCGAATCTCCTGTTCAAACATGCCAAATATGCTCAATTGAGATCTGGTGACTGTGGAAGCCATTTGAGTGAAGTGAACTCATTGTCATGTTAAAAAAAAAAAGTTAGAAGGTGAACCGAGGGTGGACCCCCTAAACCTACATTATATGACTGATAGACAACAACGGTTTGACCAAAAAATATCCTCTCATTATGACCATTGACACCTGTGAAACAAAGACACCTACATATTGGATACCCTTGAGGTAAGCTAAAACATATCAAAAAATAATTTCAAAGTGAACTATCCCTTTAAGTGTAATATCATCAGTTTACATATATATACACATCATAGAACATATATCATAATGTTAAAAAAAATGCAGTTCTCATTACTGCTGTAGTCACTTTATTTTATTTAATAATGTAAGTCCGCAATTAGTCATTTTTAGTGGGTTGACATTATTTACAGTGTAGTTGGACCAAGAATATTGTATTTTTATTTATTATTGCATTATACATTTCATTTTTTGTTGTCTATTATATGAAGCATGAACTACATGTCTATAAATACATGTAATATCATTGTTTTATATATGCATGTGTGTATATCTTTTTATATCTCTCTTTTTCCTTACAGATACAAAATCACCCATAACACTGATTCCTCTTGGCAGTTGATTTGCAAGTTAATACGGCTGTTTACTTAGTGCTCCGAACATATTAAAATCCCCATATATCACATACGTAGGCAGCGAAGATGTAAACACAGTTAACTACAAACGGCCACATTTAGTCACAGTCATCATGAAACAGAAATTGAAGTAATGAATCTTCCAAATAGTTGCTCAACAGAAGCAACATTAAAGTCTCACAAATGGTACATATTTACACAAACACACAGGGCCCTGAATGATCTCTAAAGACAGATTTAGAAGAGGAGGCGGCACTGAGGGACACATCGACCTGAGAAGAACAAGCCCAATGGTCATAATGAGAGGCTATTCATTACAGGGCGCAGGGATTGATGTGGGGCGGGGGCACGGAGAGCAAAAAAAGGGGCTGAAGGAGGCAGATGCTCAGCGCTTTATAATCACAGCCTCCCTTCTGCACCGCTGGACTCATTTTGTTGCATTTCATTTGTGGATCTCGAGATTAAATGTGATGCAATAACGCGGTCTTTTGTATACCTGGGGGCGTTAGTGAATCATTAAGCACAGCACACACACACACATTTGCATGATACACATAAATGCACAAACAAAACTGTCTCACACACACTCTTGCACACGCACTTGAGGAACAATAAGAATCAGCAGCAGGAGAAACTTGCATTTGGAGGGGGTGTGTTCAGATCCCGCTGGAGGAGCCAGTAACACAGAGGATGTGTCAGGGAACATGACTGCTGCCGGAAAGGGGCATGACATGATCTGTCAGAAGGCAGTGTCTCTCATAGTTGACCTCTGTATGCAGGACAGCCCGCGGCTGGACCCCGACACCTGTGAGGAGTTCCTCTTCCTCATCTCCAATCAGGAGTTCAACCACAAAGATTCGGGTAATGACGATTCTTTTCCTTGAGATTTACAGTTCTGCTATTTGTAGAGTGGTTTATGTGGTTGTAGATGCTTATTTTCTGAATGAGTTTCTCCTTTTAATCAGAAATGATTTATTTTGGCTCAGAAACCATTGTGAAACAGAGCCTTTAATTTTAAATGACCTGCTTTTAGTATAGCATCACTCACGGTTGCATTGTGTGGGTGTTAGTGGGAATAATTATTTTTTAAGTCCTGAACTGCCAGCACTGCCAGCTAAATATTCCTATCAGGCATTACAGTTAAAAGAATTACGTTGGCAATAACTGTTCAGTGTCCCCGGGAGATAAAAATCATTTGGATTTGCCACAGATTTGTTGCTGCTGCACTGTGACATAAACAATATGCTCGTGCTTTTATTAGAACTGTATTATTATCAGATGTAGACTAAAACATTTCATCATGTGTGGAAGCCTTATCTGAAACCATTTTTTGTTGCAGGCATAGTTTTGATATGTTTTCTTGAGTTGGGATCCTATAGAGGTCTGTAATTAATTTGAGGTCTCTTTTTAATTAACTTAAATACAATTTAATTCATTTAAAAATAAATGTTACTTTTTTAGAGATGTAAAGGTGCTTGGAAAGTTTGGAAACATTGCAATTAATTCATGAAATTGTTAATTATGAAAGGGCAAGAACAATTTTTTTTTTTTAAAAGCATTGCATTAAAAGCAACACTTTTACTTTCAGCGCAACTGTAAAATGCCTGCTGTTAATGTTTGCATATTTTACATTTATTCGGAAAAAAAAATGTTTTATGAATATTTTATTAAATTCAGTGTTAATATTTTAAAAGCATTGCATTAAAAGCATTTTTCAATGTTTACAAAACAATTTTTATTTGTAAAAAGGCTGCTTCTATTTTATGTTTATTTATCTCAGTTCAACTTTTTTTGAAGGTCTAATTACTTTGTCCTGTTCAATCGGTTTGCTTGCAGCCAGACTGGGGGTATTTTTGGCTGGTTTTGTTTTTGACATTTCTGTCATGTCGATGTGTTGACAGACCCCTACTTGGAAGAAATGTGTCATGTGAATGTAGACAAAAATCTTGTCACTTTGTATTAACCTCACTAGTCAAATCGAAGGCCTTCCAGCCCACCATTGGCATCCATGGCTGAGCCGTGGGGACACTAAATGCCACGGCATGTTATTGGACCATCACTGTGAATCCCTAGTGCCAGATAAAAGCTGAATAGGGGCTCTTCTGTTATTGTTGGGCAGATTTAAAGCCGAGTGTCGGGTTTACCTCAAAGGGAAATGTCAAGCAGCTTGCTGTGTTTTTTTGCATGGAAAATCTCAGTCTCATCATCATGAGATAATTATACGAGACGGTTATAATCATGCGTGCCTTGATAATAAAATTGTGTTTTTGTACTCTATTAGCTTATCATTTTGCAGCATTTCTTCCCGTGTTTTTGCTCTCTGCCAAATCATTGCGGTTCTGTAAACAGAACCGGTTTTCAAATGTCAGATGCTTTGTTTTATACTGAGGCATTCAACATAAATTGGAGCAAAATTTAAACATGTAACAAAAACAGTAACGTTTCTGTTTCAAATCCAAGATTTTTCCTTGTGCGAGTGAACACAAGGGGCTACCCTGCTATAGGTTATTTTGTAAGTGTATCAACTGAAGCACAGATGCTGTTCAGGGCTGGTAGGAGAGAGTGCGGTTGTGGATGATGGATGGAAAGCCCTGCACAATTCCATTAACAGTCAACAGATGTCTAAAGATGAGATGCGCTCAGTGGAGAAAAACCAACACTCACCTCTATGAGCTTGGAGTGCTGTTTTATATTTAAAGACAGACTGACACCCTCACAGTTGTCCTTGTCCACAAGAAAACCCATTGGAATGATGGATGGCGAATCACAGGTGAGGTGTCAGATTTCCACTTCAGCTCTAATTAGACTGTATCTCATTTTCACAATCTCATCATCAGACTCCCTGTAGAGGACATTAGCAGCAGATGATTATTCATTATGCACTGTGGTGTATTGTTTGAAAGGATGGAGAAAGTTTTGCATTGCAGGTGCAGGAAAAAGCAGTCAAAGTAGTGTAAAATAAGCTACTCTACATGTGTATACGCTTTCGATAATTCATGCGTTTCATCATGTCTTTTATAGAAAACACACTCTTTACCCCTCAAATTGGCTGGCAGCCATTTTGGCTCGGGAAGATAATAGACTTTTGCTTCGATGGTGTTAACGGAGGCAAATAGATGCTACGGCAAGTCCAACAGCACTGGCTAATTTACATGATTATTATGTGTCATTCTGAAACTAGGGTAATTGTGGTTGAGTGTGTGTTGTTGGGGCCTAAGCTTGAGGGGACTGGGGTCTGAAAAGAGAGAGGTGTGAAAACCAATCTGTCCAAAATAAATACATGCTGCAGCTGATGGGTACAAATAAAGAAACCATGTCCATCAAATCATTAAAACACCTCGTCCTAACAGTATAGTTCTTAGTTAAGCAACTTCTTTATCTTAATACTCTTCAATAGTCTCTGGCCAACACAAAGTTGCTGTTTTGGTCCACCAGAATTTATAGTTTACCCACCTCTTTTTTTTACCACTACACCTCTGCTTCGGTGTCTTGATGTGAGTGATCATGTATATTATATTATGTATATTATGCGTATCCGCTGGGGTCTGCCCATTTTTTCAGCATTTTTCAAATATTGCCAGTGGGTGGAGTCAGGCTCTGACCAGGGGTTTAGTTACCCTTTAACGACACAGAATCCTACAGGTTTATTTGGCTGCTGTCACTTTAAAACCCAGGATCCAAAATACTATTACAAATGCGTTTTCTTTCTCAACTATTTTTATTCACTTAACTCTTTCCCTGAGCGTTTAAAAAAAAGAAGTTGCCAGCCGCCACCACCAGTGTTTTTGATAATTTTACAATACAATACCACACATACCATAAAATACAATATCTTTCAGAATGCCACAGGATGTCAATGCTCATCACAGCGATGAGTGAGGACGGAAGAGAAACACATTGTACCGTCTGTATACAGAAATGCCTGATAGTCTTTACCTGAGCAGTATATTCAGCCTACACCAAATGCACAAGCAGCTGCAGGGTTTTGCTTGACAGATTAATGAAGGGAGAGAGAGGTCTCAGCACCCTTATTGATAACTGGAGGAGAACACTTTAGTGACCATATTCCACCGCTTTCATGGCTTCGAAGAATATAGATTTTTTAAAGAAAACAAATCAAGTCGTTAGCGGTTAAACTCTATTGCCCTTTTTACACATGGTAAGATCCATCTCAGGTTATCCGATTACCGTCATTATAACATGAGTATTATGTCCGTGTTCTGGGAAGAGAAAGACTACATTGTGCCTATATTTCCTTATATTAAATATCTCCTTAAAGGATTTATTCCCCCAGTTTTTAAAAGTACACTACTAGTTAAACTCAAAGCTAACGCACGTATTTTAATTTCATGGGATCTTTTTTTTTTCTTTATATGGTGAAAGTTTTCAGTATCGTTGACACTAATTTGTTATACATGATCAGTGTTGTGTGCTCATTATTCATTGTTTTGTATAAACCCCATTAATCAATGCAAATACATTATGTGGCATGTAATATGTTCCTTGTCAGTGTAAACGCAAATGAGGAAGCATGTTTGGCAGCAAACTCTTCCTCTCGTTCCGTGTCGTGCTGCGTTAACAGACAGCCTGGGTGTTACGGTGCAGCACGAGCATCTGCTCCAACAATGACGAAGCTTTACAGACATTATCTTCCCTGTTTCCTGCATAAAGGCTCAGTTGAAAAAGCTGTGTTTTCTAAAGTGTTATCTGGAACCCCTGCAGATATGCCCATCACAGTGGGTGCCGACATTATGAGTATAATGTGAACAAGCAGAACTGTAATACCACGGTACATCAGGAACAAAAAGAAAAATATCATATATGAATTATCTAGCACAATCTAGCATTTTTTTTTTGTTTTGCATGGTTTGTTTTTGTCTGACCTCATGAAATGGCTTTTCATCCATGTCTAGCTTTGAGGTATTTCTAAAGGTTTGCAAAGTTTGTAAGTGTTATTACCGTTTACAGCTAAAACTAAATAATTTTAGGTCATTGAAATAAAGTTAAAATAAATATTAAAAAAGGAACTAAAAAAATAATGAAACTATGTAGCCTATAATTATTTTATCTATTCAGTTTTAGTAATTTTGTAAATAATACATAGATAACATTTGCATATCAATACACATTAAAGTGCCCCTATTATTCATACAAATAAAGCTGTCTCCTAAAAGAAAGAATCGATTCTGAACATATTGCAATTCCACTCTTGCTTCCTGTTACATAACAATGTAAAACATTTTCTTAAAGGGATAGTTCACTTTGAAATTAATTTTTGATATGTTTTAGCTTACCTCAAGGGCATCCAAGATGTAGATGTCTTTGTTTCCACAGTATTTTCAATTATGACATTTTCGGTCAAACCGTTGTTGTCTCATTGTGTCTCGCCCAGATTTACTGTTAATAAGGCAGAAAACAGCGCTAGTCAAGCATTTGCATGACATCTTTAAATCTCAAATCAGAAAATTTGCCTGTGGGTACATAAACTATCTTTTACTAACTGTGGCAATCAGACAGTAATTGAAAATTTATGAAAGGATCAAAAAGCGTGCAAGTAGACTTTTGGCAAAAAAGCCAATTGTTTATTTTAGAGCTGAATTTACGAGGGAGTTTGTTGACTTTACTATAAATGATACATCTGAAACTGTTGCGTTGTTAGGCTTATGACTATTATGTTCATAATAAACTCAAATAAAAGCATTATAATCTCCACACTTTTGTACCATATATTATAATTTCATGCTTACTGGCCTTTGTAAGACATTTTTAAACATGCACGAATGCTTATGACCTTTAGGTCACCTTATGAAATTCCAACATGCAAATTAGGAATCCACGTGATAATTCTTTTCCTCTCTGAC